TTTATGTATTTATAAAGATGTGAGTAATAATTTTTTTTCTTTTAGGATTAGTCTTTACTTTATTTGTAAATGTTTTTTCTTTTTTAGTTGATATATATAATCCTTTTTAATATTGTCATTTTTAAATATTATAGTAGTTATATTTTCTTATATATATATTTTAATAATTATGATTTTTCCTAAATTTATGTTCTGTTTTATATTTAACCGCGACACATGTCAAAATCTTAATCTCAAAACTTGATATGTGTCACGATTATGTAAATTACTAACATATAAAATTTACTACCTATTTCAAAGGAAAATTGGTTTTCTCTTTTATTTTGCTTCCTCAACTCTCATTATTTTCATCGATTTATCAGTTTCTCACCTTATTCGTTGGTTCGAGTCTACGAGAAAAATTGGCCTAGTAAAAAGATAAAAGATTTTCTACATTTATAAAGATGTCAATAATATTTTCCTTTTTCTTTTAGGATTAGGTTTTACTTTTTTTTGAAAAAAAAAATTCTTTTTCTTAATTGAAATATATTATTATTATTGTTTAATTTATTTCTTTTTCTTTTAGATATTGTAGTGTTATATATATATTTTTTTAAAAAAACAGTGACATTTCATAAATTTATATTTATTTTTCATTTAATCGCGACACATATCAAAATCTGAATCGAATGATTCGCCACATGTCATAATCATATGTATTACTAACTTTGATGTATTCAACTTTATCTAATAAGATTTTATATGTTTATAAAGATTTGAATACTATTTTCCCTTTTCTTTTAGGATTAGTTTATACTTTTTTGAGAAAAAAGTTTCCTTTTCTTAGTTAAACTATATTATTATTATTTTTTATTTATTTATTTTTCTTTTAAATATTGTAGTGGTTATATATATATATATATATTTTTTTTTAACAGTAGTGATATTTCCTAAATTTATATTTATTTTTAATTTAATCGCAACACGTATCAAAATCTGAATGTAATGATTCATATGAAAAAATTACATATCACAATCATATGAATTACTAACTTTGATGCATCCAACTTTACATGATAAGATTAGATGCTGTCAAAATTAGTATTTTACATTCACAATACGTGACTTCTTCATATGTGGCGAATAATTTTAATTATAATTTTAGTTTAAATTTCTTATCTCATCGACACATGTAAAATTAAAATATATTAATAAATAAAAACTTAAGTAATTCTTAAAAAGCACTATTTTTTCTAAAATATGGAATAAAATTAAGAGAAATGACCTCTAATACACTCATTTTAAGTTTAGTTTCTACAAATACACAACACGCTATACAATTTCCATCACCTAACATTTTATAGTTAAGATTACCCAAATTACCCTTATTAACAACGACTGCTCTGTTTTTTTTTTTTTGAATTACCAGCTTTTTGAATTTGCGATGACAAAGAGAGTTTCGATCTTCTCCGGCGACGATGAAAGTGTAGTTTCGATCTTCCCCGACGACAACGAAGAGAGTTTTGATCTTCTCCGGCGACGACGAAGAGAGTTTCGTCGACTCATTTCCAGCGACGATCTCTGGCGATTGAAGAAGACGAGGACTCGCGATTCATCGGAAGCTTGAATAGAGTTTCAAACTTCTCCGGCGATGACGAAGAGAGTTTCGTCGACTCATTTCTGGCGATGTTCTCCAGCGATTGAAATCGCGAGAGTTTTGATCTACAATTGAAATTTGATCATCGACAAGGTCGATTGCCTAACCTTTCGCGATTCATTTCCCAGCTTCACCGGCGACAATTGGCCACAATTGACGTCGACAATAGTTTCACGATTCATCTCTGGCTACAGTAGATTAGCTTAGAGCTTCACCGCCGAGGAAGTTCGGAATCCATCGACGCCGACGACATATTCGATCATTTCAGGAAGGTACAGGAATACCTTCCGAAATGTTCGCAAATGTTCTTGAATCGAAAACAATTTTTGAATATTCATTTATGAAGCCTTCCTAAATCATTTGCTATATATATTTTGGATTGTTGCTTTAGTATAACATACACGAATATTGAGTTGTTTACTGGATGATTACTCGTAGTCCATATAGAGAGTCGTAGTCAATGATTACTTTTTAGGAAGACATTCGTCTGTTCTAGGAATGTCTTCATAACTAACATCAAAGTAGATTATGGCTAAAGTTTTAGATTATGATTCCTCAATTATAGACATTCTTTAGTCATATATAAGGCTGTTTTCAAAGCTTCTTGTTCATCGACTCAAGATCATATACTTATTTTTGGTTGCTTCATTTAGTATATTTTTCTGTTCTTCTTCTTAATTGTGTTTTTGTTTTTTGTAATTCACAGAAATATGGTTGGCGTATATGTTGTTTGTGGTGTCTGGAAATTCAGCGAGAATCAGCAGTGGGAGTTTGATGTAGATTTAAGCAGAAGAGGTTCATTTTCTGTTGTTGATGAAGATATCACATATGTAGACCTTCTAAGGGTTGTGAAGGCTGATTTCGGAATGGATGATATTGATATCACTCTCACCTACAGAGATCCCCTTCTGACAGTTATGCTGAGAGCATACATCCGTGTGGTGATCTATCTACATGTTCCTTTCCTGATGGTGTGTATGATTACCTATGTTGTCCACCAAACACGAAGCTAAGCAGTGGAAGGCCACTAAAGAAGAGAAAGAGAGCTGCAGGAGAATTTGGGGTCCCTAATTCTAAATCCCAAGGACACAAGTGCAGCATATGTGGCATAGGAGGACACAACAAGACCAAATGCAGGAATCAGATATGATTCTCACTGTGGAATGTCCAAGGGATGCGGAAGCTTTCTTATACATTCAAACTATAGACTGATTATACATTCGTTTGTTCAACATTTTTTTTCGGAAGCTTTCCAGTTATTTTTGGAAGAACTTCCATAGCCATTTTATGTTCGTAACTTTTATCTTTTGGAAGCTTTCCAGACTGTTTCATTGTTTTCTCAACTATGTTCCTAGTTTTTCTATTTTAACAACGTAATAGAGAACTTAGGAAGGCTTCCTCAATTATTTCTCTTTCCCAAGTTTATCTATGAAAGCTTCCTAAATCATTCTATTTTACTGGGTATCAGTTAGGAAGACTTCCTAAATCATTCTTTTCGCTGGTTATAAGGTAGGAATGCTTCCTAAATCATTCTCTTTTTGCTGGTTATAAGCTAGGAAGGCTTCCTAAATCATGTTCTGTTTCCCAAGTTTATTTTTAGGATGGCTTCCTAAATCATATTCTCTTTCCCAAGTTTATTTTAGGATGGCTTCTTAAATGATGTTCAGTTTCCCAAGTTTATTTTAGGATGGCTTCCTAAATGATGTTCAGTTTCCCAAGTTTATTTTAGGATGGCTTCCTAAATCGTGTTAACATAAGCAAATCACAAAAAAAGCTTCCAACTCTATTAATGAAAGAGAACACACCTAATTGCATCGTTAGGTAATATAATAAGTCGGTGAAACGGTTAATAAGCGTAGTGGGACGTGTCGTTTCGTGGTAGAAATAGGGGGGTCATATTGTTTCCTGGTAAAAGTAGGGGGATCGTGTCGTTACATGGTTAAAATATTTTTCTCGGTATGTGGTTTTGTAAATCTCTCTTTACGAAATCGTTCCTAAACTAATGTTACTTCTTCCTAAATTTGTCATATATCCTCCTAAAACTGTGAAAACTCTATTATTTTCAAATAACTGCATATCCCTTCGTTTTCGTAACGGTTATTTACAATAACTGCATATCCCTTCGTGGGACGTGCCGTTTCATAGTAACATTTGAAAACGGTTAAAATTGTAGCGAACATGTCGTTTCCTTGTAAAAACCTTTTGCTATATATAAGGCATCCTCTGTATTCAGATTTTGAAGAACCCATCCCATAATTTCCATTTTCGAAAGTGCACAATGCTGCGTCACTTGTCCATGAGAACACCATCTGATCACGATGTGATATCTGATTTGCGTACAAACGAGAGTGATTGGAGCATCTGCGTTAAGATCCTTCGGCTTTGGAGACAACAAAACTTTCTTGGCGAAACTTAGGAGATATTAATCTCTGACGAGCAGGTTATTCTCTGTTACTTCATTTTTTGGAAATGATAAACTTCGACTTTTTTTTCTAATCAGTCATGTTTTTTTTTTCAGGGAATGCACATATCGGCCTCTGTAATGCCAGGAGATATGTTGAAGTTTGCCAAGAAAAATTCTCACACTTTTTACATTTTAGGATGTGTTCTGAATAAGTTAGAATAGGATCCTAACTGTGTAAGAAAGAACATTGTCGAAAATGTTTGGTCGCGGTTTCTAAATTTTTACAATTGTTTTTGTAACTTGAAAGTGAAAAAGAGTTTATCAATGAGCGTAAGTATATATGATTAAAGTAGATGAAATTGTTAAGAAAATTTTCATGTTTTTATCAAAGCACAAAAAAATACTTTTTTCTTTCTTTTCCGGAACACCTTCCTAAAGTACTTTCAAGTTTTCCTTACCTTTCCAGAAACTTTTTCTAATCGTTTTTATTCATTTGGTATATTGAATCACTCTTACGTTCCTTGATTGAACACTTAAAAACAAACTAAATTACCTTCGTAATGTTTAAATTATTTTTTGTCGAAGTGAAATTGTTTACAACGAACACTTTTTTTATCAAAGCACAATAGTTACTCTTTTCTTTCTTTTCCGGAAAACCTTCCTATAAATAATATCAAGTTTTCCTTACCTTCCCGAAAGCTTTTTCTAATCGTTTTTATTTATTTAGCATATTGAATCACTGTTACGACGTCCTTTGATTAAACACTTAATGTCATCTAAAAATAGAGAACAGTGAAGGATTCGTAAAAATCTCGCAAGTAAATCTCAAGAAACATAACACAACTTCAAAAAATCTGTAACACAATTAATCTGAAACACAATTAATGGTTAGCCATCGTAAACCACAATTTCGGAATGTTGCTTCCTCTGCTCAAATGAAAAACAAATAAAGTGTTATACCTACTTTTTCTTAAAATGATCAAAGATTTCCCAAACCAGATTGCTCCTCAGATCTTGAACAACTTCATCACAAATTCTTGAAAAGTCCTCAATCTTCACAAAGTGGCACTCAATCATCTTGAGTACAAAGATGCCACTATTGGATATTGTGCTGGACTTTGCAACTGTTTCCTCAAAATCATATACCACTTCGAACGGAACGAGATTCTGCATTGGCTTTACTTTTTCTGCAACACAAAGTAGTACAGGGATCATCTCTACAAAATTATCACAACTTAAATTCAGAAAAGAATATTTTCCTTAAATTCATGAAAGTAATCGAAAACTACGGAAAACCATTTTTGGTGAAACACTTTACCTGCGATATCATTGGCGACCTGTAAAATACTTGCCTTTGGCTCTTTTGGATGTCTGCAGCTAAAACACTCGACTCGCCTCTTCTTCATATCTATCGCTAAACCAATCCAGTGTAGAGAAGTCTTTGGTTTAGCCATTCCATAGATGAAATCAACATCCTTCTTCCAGTTTTTGTTTGGATACTTGTTCCCCTTTACAACTTCAATCACATTTTCAGGAAAATCTTTCTTGCACCGAGGTTTCTTGAAAATGTTGTGGAAATCTAACAGCTCACTGAAGAACATTGAGTTACAAAAAGCAGCCCTTGGGAATCGATTGTTGTGGAAATAAGCTGCATGCTCCTCTCGTTTATCATTGAATAGCATCATTGCTGCGTCTACCTCCTACATGAATATTCAAAGTCTTCCAAACTTATTTTTCTCTAGGAAGCCTCCCTAAATAAAGTTGATATGACTAGAATAATACCTGTCCGTTAACACGAGTTGATGGGTTCTCCAGTCTCCTGAACCAAGCTCCATTAGCTTGGATTTCACCAATGCTGTGTTTTTAATTATACTTTGTGAACTCAATCAATTTACACAGAATTTAAATTATAATATAATATCACATTATTATAATACTATATATCAACCTTACTGTCTCGTCATTATTCACCCAATCTTGATAAGCTGATAGCAGCTCATATCCTGGGGATTGAAACGGATCTAGCATAGGATTTGGTTAAGGAGTCGTGATTAGATCTGGGTTTGGCGGCGCTCTGAAGGGATTTTCTGTACTCTTATTTTGTTTTGGGTCTTGGTTGCTCCTCCTTAGAAACGTTTTCAACCTCTTAGTCGGACGATCACTTTCATCGTCAACTCTCTTCTCCTTTGCTTTTGTGTTTGCAACAGTAGGACGAATCCTCAATACATCCACAACCTTCACATGTTTTTGGAGTTCAGCAGCAGACTCTTCGTTAGCACTTGTATCCATAGCAACAACATATGCTGTATCCTTCTGGAAGGATAATCCCCTCTTCTCCGAAGCAACCTGCAACGTACGATTGATACAAGTTTCAGGAAGTAAAGGTTAATGGTTTTGTTTTAAAAAATTCTAACCTCATCCGTCTGATTTCCCGCCCCACTTGGTGATGGTTGCCATAAAACAATAGCCATAGAATTTGTTCCCTTAACATTCTGCAGAAATACAGATTTTTATGGAATGTTAAAAAGTTTTCTGGAAGAATTGACAGATGTTCAGGAAGACCTTACTAAAATACCAAAACGCAAAAGAATGCTGATTTTCTTACTGTAGTTTCATTTTTTTCCTGGCTCCCATCATCATTGTCAACTTCTGTTTGTCCCTTGCCTGCAATCGTCTCCGTCGATGCAACCACCGGCGGGGTTTGTACCTGGAAATACAACATTTTTTGGGTTAGGAAGGTTTGACAGATGTTCAGGAAGACATTACTAAAATACCAAAAAGCAAAAGAATCTTGTTTTTGTTACCGTAGTTTCATCCTTTTCTGGGCTCCCATCATCATTGTCAACTTCTGTGGGTTCAGTGCCTGCAACCGTCTCCGTGGATGTAACCACGGGTGGGGTTTGTACCTAGAAGCACAACATTTTTCTGGGTTAGGAACGTTTTACAGATGCTCAGGAAGACCTTACTAGAATACCAAAACGCAAAAGAATCCTTATTTTCTTACTGTAGTTTCATTTTTTTCTTGGCTCCCATCATCATTGTCCATCTCCGTAGGTTCATTGCCTCTAAATGTTTTCATGGATGTCGATAATACAGGCGGGGTTTATACCTAGAAGTCCATCATTTTTTGTTAGGAACTGTTAACACATGTTCAGGAAGACCTTACTAAAGTAATGAATTCAAAAAGAAACAAGAATAGTTAACAGTTTGTTGCTCCTCCATTGGTTGGGTCCTATCTTCCTTGTCCATTCCTGTTTGTCCCGCGCCTGCAACCGTCTCCGTGGATGTAACCACGGGCGGGGTTTGTACCTGGAAGCCCAACATTTTTTTGGGTTAGGAACGTTTGACAGATGTTCAGGAAGACCTTACTAAAACAACAGAACACAAAAGAATCATCATTTTCTTACTGTAGTTTCATTATTTTCTTGGCTCCCATCATCATTCTCCATCTCCGCGGGTTCATTGCCTCCAACAGTTTCCATGGATGTCGATATCGCAGGCGGGGTTTGTACCTGGAAGTGCATGATTTTTTGTTAGGAACTTTTAACAAACGCTAACAGTATGTTAACTTTTAACTTTCAACAAGCGCTAACAGTTTGTTGCTCCTCCATTGGTTGGGTCCTCTCATCCTTTTCTATCTGTGTTTGGGCCTCCTCCTTTTTTTTTGCTACTCTCAGTTGTCTCATCATCGTTCATCTGCAAAACAATAGAGCATATTAGTCCGGAAATTAACACAATATTTTCGGAAGAACTTCCCAAGCGTTTTAGAATCTGACCTTGTGAGTAACATCTTCGTCACTGATTGGCTCTGTGGTAGTAAGGGACTGTACCAGCTGAGTATCCCGTTCCTCCGAATTTGAATCTGCCAACTCTTTTTCACTCTGTCAAATGCATAACTTGGTCAGGTACATTTAATATAATTTTTCGTGGATAAACTCTCTTAGCTGTTGAAAATGCAAAAAAAAAAATCCAAATCTTATTACCTCAGCAGTAAAAAAGATCTCCTGTGTTGGAACCTGTCCTGGGTCTCCCTCAGCTTCAGGTATTTCTTGTGTTGTGGGGATCCCTTGTGTTGGTGTCCCTTCAGGTATTGTTGTTTGACTATTTTCGGCTTGTGTTAGCGCTTGTTTTTGATCACCCTCAGATGCATGAGATTCAAGCTCATGTGTGGCACCTTGGGGAATCTCCTCTGTTGGTTGACTATCTTCAACTTGTGTATCATCCTTGTTTTCGTCTGATGGTTAATGCCTTGGCGAAATGAAGTATAAATAAATAAGATCTAACGGACTGACAACTATCCTTCACGTTCTTAGCGGTTTATAATTCATTGTTAATTGACGAGGTCAACGGTTCGATTCTCCGTGACATAACCTAATTTTTGACTTTATTTTTTGTTTGTGTTTTTAGGATTCCTTTCCGACAACAGCCTAACCGATTCCTAAATTGTTAAATTAACTTGTTTCTTCATCCAACGTCCATAGATAATTAGTCTTTTACTAAACAGATAATGTCATAAGTTTTAGTTTTACATCCGGGAAAAAAAAACATTAACCATGTTCAAAATGCAAACTAAAACTACTAACAACAGTCTCCTAGGTCCTACTTGTTGTTCACAAACTGCTCAAAGATGTCGCATACATATTTGGTCTTCATGTCCGCAACACTCATATCAGCAACCTTTGAGAAGTCATGGCCCCCCAATGATCGACACTCGATCATCTTGACGACATACACGGACATTCAGTCACCCAGAAACCTCTATTGGACAAGGAAAACTCTTCTTCAGTGTGATGGACGACTTTGAATGGTTCCAGATGTCTCTTTGGCTTTTTGTTCTCAGCAATGCCGAGGAGGGTAGGTATCATATCTGCAACAATTACGAATAAGTTTTCATCAACAGGAATCATGTTTTAAGAACACCCCTCCCAACTCTGACTAATGTTTTCCCGAATCACCTCACATTTAGTAAAAAGGAAAAGTGTACCTGCTATCCTCCTAACAATATCCAAGACTACTCCTTTCTTCTCCCATTGACTATTGCACGAGAAACATTCCACTTGGCAGCTCTTAAAATTAATTTCCACTCCAATCCAGTGGGGAACCATGGATTTAATGACTCCATAGACGACATCTATATATGTCTTCCACTTCTTGTGCGGGAAAACTGTCCCCTTTACAATGTTTGTAACACAATCAGAGAATGGTAATTTGGTTCGATACCTCTCGAATTTGCCGTGGCATTGTAACAGCTCATAAAAGAAGTCTGTTTTGCAGAATGCAGCTCTAGGGAATTTGTCGTTATTGAAATATGCGCCATGTTCCTCTCTTTTCTTTTGCAACATCATCAACACTGCATTTATTTCCTGCAAGAACATGGAGTCAGAGTAACCAAGAATGTTCTGCCACCAATCCGAGAAAGAAGAACACAAGTATTCCATGATTACTTCCTTCTTACCGTATCACGAAAACGAGCTTCGGGATTCTCCATATTCTGGAACAAGGTTGCAGTAGCATCCATATCACCAATTATGTGTTTTTATTAGATATCGTCAAGACATTTACGTTACAAAACAATTTTATAACAACAACTCGTTAAGTTTTTCAAATACACTAACCTTGCTGTCTCTCCCTTCTCCAACCACTCTTTATAGGCTGTCAACTGATCCGTTTTCGGTGATTGAAATGGATCCACTGTACATTGTTCGGCCTCCTGTGCGCTCTTCCCCTTAGACTTTTTTGACTTCTCCTCACCCTTCTTCTTCTTCTTATTAGCCGGAAGAGCATCTTCATCATAGGGCCTCTTCTCTGTTTTTTTCTGCTTTGCATCATATAAATCGCCGGGAGCATTTAGCAAAAGTTTAGGAAAACCTTCCTAATAGTGGTAAAGGAACCAGAAATCTTACAGCTTTTAGCTCCTTTGTTTGGGTCTCTTTTTCATTCGTCTGCAAAAGATCATACAGCAATTTTTTTAGGTATGAAATGTTTTCTTTACCAAGCGCAAAAGAAAATATTTTCTTTCTTACTCCATCGTTTCCATCATCGTTTTCTGATACGGTGTAAGCACTTATGACACTTTCGATTATCTGGAAACAATAGTTGTATACATATGTAAGAGGCAAACGGGAAGCATATTTCGTTACACCATACAAACGAAAAACAAAAACCGTAAAACTATACCTCGTCTGGAGAATCCTCCTTAAGTTCTTTCAACACAAAATCAAAAACAACTGGTTAGTTGTTTTTGGAAACTAAGGTTTTTACAATAATAAGAATGACGCAAAATGATATATAATACCTGATCATTTACGTTTGCTTGATCACGGATTTCCTCTGAAATGTTTTCAACTTTGGTGGGAAAAGCAGACGTCTCTGTGTTTTTCTGCAGTGTAATTACAAATTAGGTAATTTTTTTTGGAACTGTTCTGGAGAATACAAGGTTTTTGCCACAGTACGAATGATGTACCTGTATATCCACATCCACAGGAGGATCCCATGCCTCGTCCACCCATTCTCTATGAATCCTTACGTCACTAATTTGGAACTTAACGTTTTTCTCGACATGATGAAGGCGGATACAAACTTCTGGACCATCGAGAAGCGCTTGAACATACCCTCTACACCAGTGGTCATCGTGGTAGGCATCAACGTCTTGCGTGAGTGCCAAAACGTCGGTGGAACAATCTGCTTCAGGAAGAAGAGGCGGTGTAGGACGGATCCGCATCTCTTGGACATTCTCATACTTACCAAGGCTCAAGAACTTCAAATAATAGCTGCGGATAGGACCTAGACCTGGCTGTCTATTTACCAACGAAGCAGGAAACCACTTGTTATCTTCACCCGATACCTCGACTAGAGCACCTTCCGTCAAGTAAGGTTTAGGACTTGGCCTGTAATCCCCTTTGCAGGAGCAGCTTTACCAGCGACAAGTCCGCAAACTATCTGGGAAACCAACATTTGTGTTAGGAACACCTAACAAGAGGTTAAGGAACCCCTTCCTAAAATATGCTAAAGAAACTTGAAAACTAACATTTTTTTTCGATCTCTCAATTTTGTCCATTTTGTTTGGTCCGATGCCTGTAACTGCTTCAGTGGAAGTTGCCACAGGCGGGGTATGTACCTGGAAACGCCAACATTTTGTGTTAGGAACATTTAGCAAAGATTCAGGAACGCATTCCAAAAACTTTTGATGTCAAGGAAAAAAGAGAGAAACTAACAGTTTGTTTGTCCAGTGGTATGGACGCCTTATTCTTTCCCAGCTGTGATTTGCGTCTCTCTCGATCCAGTGGTATGGACACCTTATCTTTCCCCATCCGTGTCTGGGGCACCTGCTGTGATTTGCCTCTTCCTTCTGCCACATTTTGGTTCATCTGCAAAACAACACACGATAACGTCAACACCACACATATTTTCTCAAGTATAATTTTGGAAGAATTCCTAAATTAGTGGAAGGCTTTCATAAAACAGTATCTTGTCTGGCTAATAAACACATAACTGATTTAGCGATTCATTCCGTCGCGAACCAGTAGCGTTTAAACCTGTTGATACGTCCACAGGAGTAAGCTCCTTCAACGAAAAACCAATAACAGCATGTTGTTAGAATATTTATTAAAAAATAAAAACTCTAATCATATATATTGTTTTGCAATACCTCATCAATAGAATCGGAAGGATCATGTATTCCCAGCTTTTGTTCAATTTTTGATAACCGAGAACGGATATGTGTCTGTCCATCTACGAACAACTCTATGAGCTTGTTAATCTTCGCCTCTACTGACTCGTCTGAAGAAGGTGGTCGGGAGTTTTGTCACGCTCTTTCTGAATGGGGATAGCGATATGACTGCGATGCAATGTATTGCAATGCATCGTCTCTCTTCACTGTCTTTCTTTTCCAGTCATCATGTGTCAGCTTGAAACCTTTCTCTAAGAGATCCACAAGCGAATGCAGATCTTCATTGTCTTTGTCTCGCAAAAAAACGGTGTCTTCGAGGTCACCATGTATTTTTGGAAGGATGTGTACGGCATCCATCTGCACAGTCAAAAAACACACACGTCATTCAGCAATGGTTTGTTAGGAAAGCCTTCCTAAACTAATGACACATATTCCGAACACTGCAAAACACCATCATAGATAATCAGAGTAGTAAAGGATGGCGCTTACACCGCTTTCTCTTTCTATGCTCAGAACAGATTTGATGGGAGGAGATGTTGTGTGAAGGTCTTTCACACACAAAAAGCTGTGGGCGTGACTGTGTTGTCAATGGTAGAGAAAGCCGACTGAAGCTTGGGTACGGATTCCAAGATCCATAGGTGAAGCGCAAAAGGGAACACATCCAAAGGGAACTTGGACTTTTCTAGACACTTCTCCATTGTCTTCTTCACTGATTTTAACAGCATTTCGTAAGCATCTATCCCCCAGTGATGATTCAGCAATACATCCATGTGTTGCGCTTTTTGTAGATTAGATGTTGGGAACATAGCCTTCGAATACCTATGAAGAAAAATTGTCTCTATGAGCAGCACCATAGCCAAAGAAAACCTCTCATCATGAGCATCCTCTCCGGCTTCGACCATGAGTTCTATCAGGTCGTCGGGTGAATGTCCATCCTCCAATCGAGACCAATCATAGTGGTTTTCCTCTTCCTCAACAGCAGGCAACCATTCGGTGCATTTCAACCCCCTGATCATATGGAATTCTCTTATAGAGAACCTCATAGGATGTCCACCAAAATGAAACCACAGCTCCTTTTCTTTCTTGGTTTCCAGGGTCTTGGTCAGAATTGTGTGGATTATCTTCCCTGACATAGATAGATCCCTCGAACAGAACTGCAAAACCGGACCCAGGAAAGAGTCCTCGATTCTCTTAAACTGCTCAGACCCGAGTATCTCCTTCACCTTGGCGATGTACTTGAAGTCCGAGTACTTGTCTATCACCTTGAATCCATTCACAGGTTCCTTCCCCATCTCGTATTTGAGCTTAGGAAGTGTGATGTCCATTTTCAACTGCAAGAAGAAAAGAGACGGAAAATGTCACAACAGAAACGAAATGTGCCGCAACAGAAACAAAAAATGTCACAATTTGAATCTTTTAGGACGACCCTTCATAAGTGGAAATTGAAGGTTCCCTCTACACTAATCTATAAACAAACCCCACAATAGAATCTAAAGCCTATCCTAAATCATTTAAAAAGTGGTAAATCATTGATCAGAAGAGATAGATTTTTATGAGTCGTCGAGATGAGAGTAGTTTTTCGGGGCAGGAGTTTCTTACTGAATCTTTAGTTGTCGAGATGTCTTCTTCACCGATGCACCGCCGCTGAAAATCCGGGTTTTCACTATAAATCGCCGTCGCTGCTGTAAATTAGGTTTTTATCTGGATATCACCTTCGATATAGCCGATGAGGAAGGGTTCCCAAAAGTAAATAATTGTGTTAATATTTTTAAAAGATAAATACATAAATTCGAAATGATGGACAACTACAACGATCGGCCTTAACGGTTAGTGCTTCTACGATTAAACAAATGTGTCTCATGTTCGACACAACCGTAGAATGTAATTATACTTTTTTTGTTTTATGCTTTACTGTTTAGGAAGTCTTTTCGAAATGTTGCAATTTATTCCTAAATATCGAGGGAAGAAGGGACCCAACATTATTTCTGGAATCTAGGATTACAGTCCAAAACTTTTTAATTTCTCTTGCCAAGATTTAATAAGGAGGCCTTCCAAAATCATTTTCTTTTTCACAAGTTTCATCAAGGAAGGCTTCCTAAACCATTTTTTTTTTTAAATATTCATTTAGGAAGCCTTCCTAAATCAAATACTTTTACCTAAGTTCATTTAGGAAGGCTTTCTAAACCTTTTTTCCTTTTCCCTAACAACCATAAAATTACTTTGTTATGAGAATCAATTTGAAATGAATCAAATACAAGGTCCGAAATAAGTACAACTGATTTTGCTAAACCAAAGGCAACATTGTTTAAAAAACAAAGATAAATATCATGTATTCAAATCCATGTTTGCAAACAACACATCTAAAAACACCGTTAAAACCACTAACCATATTAACAAATGGCAACTAACACCACCAACATAATTCATTCTTTTTTTTTTGTTCCGAATATGCATATCACATATTTGTTTGTTTGAACCGTTTGCTCCTTCTTAGAGATGTTTTCTCTAGCTTTTCATTCTGCTCTTTCTTCGCTTTCTTTTTCTTCGATTTCTCCTTCTTCCCCTTCTCCTCCTTAGATTTCGCCTTCTCCACTTTCTTCTCCTTGGATTTCGCCTTCTCCACTTTCTCCTTCTCCGGTTTAACCTTTGATAAGAAGACAGGCTTTCGTAAAAACGGGGCATGTGAATGTTTTTCACTAGTTGTAAACACAAAAAAACTTGGTGAAAAATAGTTTTAGGAAAGTAATTTTACCTTCGCAATGTCTTCTACTGTGGTGGGCGAAGCAGACGTCACTGCGTCTTCCTGCAACATTCAAACAACTTAGTTAAACTTTTTGTATTGTTTTAAAGAATACAGGGTTTTATCACAGTAAAAAAGATGTACCTGGATAGCCACATCCACAGGAGGATCCCACGCCTCGTCCACCCATTGTCTAAAAATCCTCGTATCCATAACGTCTACCAGTTGTGTTTTGTCGATATCATATAGGTGGATAGAAACCTTTGTACCCTCGGTAGGCGCTTCCACACACCCTCTGCACCAGTGCTCATTGTGGTAAACCTCAACGACTTGCCCAGCCTCTAAAACGTTGGCGACATGTTCTTCATAAAGCAGCTGAGGCGGTGTAGGACGGATCCGCATCTCTTGGACATTCTCATACTTATCAATGCTCAAGTACCTCAAATAATAGTTGCGGATAGGACCTAGACCTGGCTGTCTATTTATAACCGCAGCAGGGAACCACCTGTTATCTTCACCCGATACTTCGACTAAAGAACCTTCTGCCAAGTATGTTATATGTCTCGTGCCTCTAATTCCCTTTATAGGAGCAAAGCTAGGAACAAAAAGTGCCGAAACCACCTGGACATCCAATATTTTGTGTTAGGTTAAATGTTCAGGAAGACCATACTAAAATACCAAAACGCAAAAGAATGCTGATTTTCTTACTGTAGTTTCATTTTTTCCTGGCTTCCATCATCTTTGTCAACTTCTGTTTGTCCCTCGCTTGCAATCGTCTCCATCGATGCAATCACCGGCGGGGTTTGTACCTGGAAACACAATATTTTTTGGGTTAGGAAGGTTTGACAGATGTTCATGAAGACATTACTAAAATACCAAAAAGCAAAAGAATCTTGATTTTCTTACCGTAGTTTCATCCTTTTCTTGGCTCCCATCATCATTGTCAACTTCCGTGGGTTCATCGCCTGTAACCGGCTCCGTGGATGTAACCACGGGCGGGGTTTGTACCTGGAAGCCCAACATTTTTTGGTTGAGGAAGGTCTGGCAAATGTTCAGGAAGACCTTACTAAAATACCAAGCAAAAGAGTCCTCATTTTTCTTACTGTAGTTTCATCTTTTTCTTGGCTCCCATTATCATTGTTAGTTTATGTCTGTCCCGCGTCTGCAACCGTCTCCGTGGATGCAACCACAAGTGGGGTTTGTACCTGCTAGGACAATATTTTCTGGGTTAGGAAGGTCTAACAGAAATTCTGGAAGACCTTACTAAAATACCAAAACGCAAAAGAATCCTGATTTTCTTACTGTTGTTTCATTATTTTATTGGCTCCCACAATCATTGTCCATCTCCGTGGGTTCATTGCCTCCAACCGTCTCCGTGGATGTCGATATCACAGGCGGAGTTTGTACCTGGAAGTGCATGATTTTTTGTTCGGAACTTTTAACAAATATTCAGGAAGACCTTACTAAAGTAATGAAATCTAAAATAAACAAGCATAGCTAACAGTTTGTTGCTCCTCCATTGGTTGGGTCCTCTCATCCTTTTCCATCTGTGTTTGGGCTTCCTCCTGTTCTTTGCTACTCGTAGTTGTCTCATCATCGTTCATCTGCAAAACAATAGATGACAGCATATTAGTAACAAAATGTTTTAGCAAATGTAGATGACAAAAAATTGTTTAAGTTCCTTATCAGTTTCTTTGGTTGTTTCAACCACACCACTTCCATTGACAGTCTTTGTTCTTGAAGGTCCTACCTCAATTGGGTTTACACCAGTTCCATGGTGCACAGGAGGCGAGACGTGATCAGATATATCCTCCTTCAAAGAAAAAACAGATAACAGCGTGATGTTAGAAAATTTATTAAAGAACTATCTCTAACAAACATATATATATATTTTTCAATCAATACCTCATCAATGGAATCTGAAGGATCATATATGCCAAGCTTTGCTCGATTTTTGATAACCGAGAACGAATATGTCTCTGTCCATCTATGAATATCTTCTTGAGCTGGTCAAGCTTCGCCTCTACTGACTCGTCTGAAGAAGGTGGTCGGGAATTTCATCTCGCTCTTTCTGAATGGGGATAGCGATATGACTGCGATGCAATGTATTGCAATGCATCGTCTCTCTTCACAATATTTGTTTTCCAGTGATCACGTGTCAGCCTGAAACCCTTCTCCAACAGATCCACAAGCGAATGCAGATCTTCATCGCATTTGTCTTTCAAAAACACGGTGTCTTCGAGGTCACCATGTATTTTTGGAAGGATGTGTACGGCATCCATCTGTACAGTCAAAAAACACACATACGTCATTCAGCGATGGTTTGTTAGGAAAGCCTTCCTAAACTAATGACACATATTCCGAACACTGCGAAAGACCATCCTAGATAATAAGAGTAGTACTAATGACACTTACATCACTTTCGCCTTCTATGCTCAAAACAGTTTTGATGGGAGGAGATGTTGTGTAAAGGTATTTCACACACAAAAAAGCTGTGGGCGGGACTGTGTTGTCAATGGTAGAGAAAGCCAATTGGAGCTTGGGTACGGATTCCAAGATCCATAGGTGAAGCACAAAAGGGAACCCGTCTAGAGGGTACTTGGAATTTTCTAGATTCTTCTCCACAGTCTTCTTCACTGATTTTAACAGCATTTCGTAAGCATCTATCCCCCAGTGATGATTCAGCAATACATCCATGTGTTGCGCTTTTTGTAGATTGGATGTTGGGAACAAAGCCTTCGAATACCTATGAAGAAAAATTGTCTCTATGAGCAGCACCATAGCCAAAGAAAACCTCTCATCATGAGCATCCTCTCCGGCTTCGGCCATGAGTTCTATCAGGTCGTCGGGTGAATGTCCATCCTTCAATCGAGACCAATCATAGTGGTTTGCCTCTTCTTCAACAGCAGGCAACCATTCGGTGCATTTCAGCCCCGTGATCATATGGAATTCTCTTATAGAGAACCTCATAGGATGTCCACCAAAATGAAACCACAGCTCCTTTTCTTTCTTTGTTTCCAGGGTCTTGGTCAGAATTGTGTGGATCATCTTCCCTGACATAGATAGATCCCTCGAACAGAACTGCAAAACCGGACCCAAGAAAGAGTCCTCGACTCTCTTAAACTGCTCAGACCCGAGTATCTCCTTCACCTTGGCGATGTACTTGAAGTCCGAGTACTTGTCTATCGCCTTGAATCCATTCACAGGTTCCTTCCCCATCTCGTATTTGAGCTTAGGAAGTGTGATGTCCATTTTTAACTGCAACAAGAAAAGAGACGGAAAATGTCACAACAGAAACGAAAAGTGTCACATTTTTTGAGAGTTGACAAATAACACTTAGAAAGTGCTCCTAAATATCGATCATAAAGCAAAAAAGAACTTTTTGGAAGACGTTTCCTAAATCCAAATCCTAAAATTAAAAAGAAGAGCCATAAACCAACAGTATTGTTTTTTGAAATATGAATCTTAGGACGATCCTTCATAAGTTCAAATTGAAGTTTATACTACACAAATCTACAAACCAACCCCTCGATAAGTTGAAATTGAAGTTGAAACTAAAGCCTATCCTGAATCTCTCAAAAAATTGAGATGATATAAGTTTTGGGACAGGAGTTTCTTACTGAATCTTAGTTGTCACCTTCTCTATCGCCTTTTCTCTGTCGCCGATGTCTTCTTCGCCGTTAACGATAGTTCCGGAAAGAAATTAGATTTTAGGGCTTTGTCTTCAATTCGCTTGGAATCCGAACGGTCGGGAGCGAAATGTCGAAAACTGAATCGTGTTGAGCAGTTTTCTCAACTTTAAAACTGCTCAACACAATTTTCGCTTTTATTTATATGCATAAAGAGGAAGTTACTTACAGTTATCCAACGAAACAATTCGGCCATAGCGGTTAGAGCTTTACTACGGAGTAGATGAGGTCATCGATTCGATAACCAGGGATTCCTTTTCCGTCTTATTTGTTTTTTACTTAGGAAGACTTTCCGAAACAATAGGGAATGATTCCTAAATCATTTAAAATAAAGAGGAAGTTATTTACAGTTATCCAACGAAACAATTCAGCCATAGCGGTTAGAGCTTTACTATGAAGTAGATGAGGGCATCGGTTCGATAATCAAAAATTCCTTTTTTTCGTCCTATTTGTTTTTTTTTAATATTTAGGAAGCACTTCCGAAATAATTGGAAAGATTCCGAAAACAGTTGTAAATTTTCCTCGACGATCTTCTTCTTCCATTTCAATTCATAAACTTGTCAATTCACTCACAAACATTCCAATTAACTCACAAACATTTCAATTTAATCATAAACATTTTCAATTACCGCCGTTTGTTGCACGGTTTCAATCCGTGGTTATCGAACCGAAATAATTGGAAATTAGATTTTTGTTCCTCTACGGCGGTCGAGATCTAGGGTTCGTCTTCTACGGCAGTCGAGATCTAAGTAAGTTGTACGATTTCAATCCGCCGCTTGTTGTACGATTTAAATCCGTTGTCTTCTACGGCAGCTACGGCGGTCGAGATCTAGGGTTCTTCTTTTACGGCGGTCGAGATCTAGGGTTCTTCTTCTACGGCAGTCAAGATCTAGGGTTCGTCTTCTACGGCGGCTTTGCCGCCGTTGTCTTCTACGGCGGTCGAAATCTAAGGTTCTTAAATTTCTTAGAATATTAATTAGGGATAATATGGGAAGTTTATTTTTAAATATGTTAAGGGGCGGAAATTTCTTAACACGGTGTTTAATTATGTCCACAAAACCTAAAAAATATGTATTACCGAGAATAGCCCTAAAATTAAAAAGAAAAAAGAAGATTAGAATATATTAATAAATAAAAGCTTGAGTAATCTTTTAAACAAATACTATTATTTTTAAGGAAGCAATTAAAAAAGGAAAAAATAATAATTTTAATTTAGAAAATTTTATATTTTAATTTCACTAATTATCCTAATATTAGTTTAAATAAATAAATGGAATATGATGGGGAATGGGAGGAGAAGTCTAGACTCGCCGACCATTCCGTTTTAACATCCCTACCCTCCCGTGTTAAATATTTTGATTGTTCTAATATTTAGCTGCAACATTCAAATCTCCTTAATTATTAGAAAGATATTAATCGTCCAGAAGAACAAACTCTCCGTCGCTGTTGTTGCTCTTGTTTCTCTCCATATCTGGCTCCATCGTTTTGTTGATTATTCAGCTCGATGATATATAAGAGAAACAAGGTGGATCTTCCGGAGGATTTGTTAGTGGAGATTCTCTCTAGGGTTCCGTCGTTAGATTTGGTGCGATTGCGATCTACATCCAAAGGGTGGAACGCTCTAGTCAAAGATGGGAGGTTTTCGAATAAGCACTCTGCTAATGCTCCAAAGCAATCTCTAATTATCATGTTGATCTATTTTAGGGTTTGCTTAGTGAGCGTGGATATCTGTGGAATACAAGACAGCAACAAGGTTCCTCCATCTGGAAAGATAATAAGTAAATTTAGCCTGAAAGATCCTCTCACTAACCAACGGAACAAGTTGAAATAGGCAACGTCTTTCACTGTGACGGCTTATTATTATGTACCACCAAGGACAAGAACAGACTTGTGGTTTGGAATCCGGTTTCAGGGGAAACCAAGTGGATCCAACTTAGAAACTCATACAAAGAATTCGATATCTTTGCTCTTGGTTATGGTAGCAAATCCTCTTGTTACAAAATCATAAGGATGGATCAGTCTACCGGTGGTAAAATACTTCAAGCTTATCACGAAATCTATGACTTTACCTCTAACTCATGGAGGGTTGCTAGTGTGACTACGGACTGGTTCATACCAGAGAGTCGGAATCGTGGTGTGTACTTCAAGGGAAGTACTTACTGGCTTGCTTATAGTCAAGATGGGCAATATAAAACCTTGCTAAGTTTTAATTTTTCAACAGAGAGATTCCAAACTCAATCTCTTCCTCCTTCTCTTCTCTCTGATGTGGCATTATCAGTGGTTAGCGAGGACCAACTTTGTCTACTATACGACAAAACATATATGGCATGTAAGATCGAGAGTACCGGAGTCATGTCATTGAGACAGATCGTATCAACCAAAGTGAATTTTAAGTTTTCTCACTGGATGAGTTACTTGGCCAACAAGCAGAACAAAGTTTTAGTGAGTTACTTGGCCAACGAGCAGAACAACATCTTGCACATTGTGGCAGAGGATAGACACATACAAATGGATCATCATGTTAGAGCTTTTTCGGGATCTTCTTTTCCATTTATTCTCAGTTATGTTCCGACTTTGGTTCAAATTCAACAAGATATATAGTTTTTGGAGCACCAGAGCCTTAGGGCTTTATGTCTTCTATCTTATACTAACTTTTTTTTTCCAGATGATTTTAAGTTTTTTATATCGTTTGTGAGTAGTATAATGTTGTTTTTTTGGTTTCATCAAAATACTTCTGGTTTCTTTTATGTGAACACCATGACCAGTGACAACACTTACTACGTTTGTGATTGATCCTCAAGACGTGGAGGCACGAGTTTGTCAATATCACCTTAGCTTTTGTTTGAGGTTGATCTAGTTTTTTATATAGCTACAGAGTTGTGACATGGGTTAACTAATTGAAACTAATTGAGTCGAAAACTGATAGTAACTAACTGAAAATTGTAATCTTAAAAGGAAAATGTGAACGAAAACGAAAGATTTTACGCGAGAGTAAAAGACCAAATACTTGGAACATCGGCTGACGTTTTAACTGAAAGATGAATACTTGCGAACTTTGAAAACCATACTCGAGAAAGTTGTAACCCAACACGTTGTGTTTACTAAACCATTCAATCGTAATCCTCCTCCTTGTGTACATACTACTCATTATTGATTCACCCGTCTAGGGTTCCGATTAATTCTCTGAAAAGTCGAGAGAGAAATTTTGTTTTTTTTTGTTTCCCCTTTTCTTCCGAGCAAGCAGGGGATTTATCATATATCCTTGCTCAATATATATAATGTCCAATTTCTTTTTTTTTTTCCTTAGAAATATAAATTAACTGAATGAGTTTACAAAATCTTAAATGAAGATATCGTTACTATTTCTTGGTAATATGTTATCTATACTAAATAAAAGGGACTATTTGGGGCTCCTTAGACTATTCACCTAAGCAAAAAAAACTCTTTCCCACAATGCCACGTGGCATCACTTTCATAAAGTTGAAAAACTAAAAAAAAATAACAAGTTGAAAACCATAATTAGCCGGCTTATCATAGTAAATACTACCAATTATTTAAATAAATATTAAATATCTACTTACAACAATAAAAATTAAATGCACAGATGGACTAATAATTATCCAACTTCTTCTTCTAGACGGACTCCATAAAAAGGAGAGGCAATTGAACGTTCAGGATCCCAGTTTTAATTACCACATCATTGACGACACATCGGTTTACCACATTTATCTCTCCATCTGTCTGATAATTTACAGAATTTCTATCACTATCGTTTTTTTTTAAATATACAATAATCACTTCTATGAAAAAAAAAATTAAACTACAAACGGAAGAACACATAAAATACAAATGACTATCTTATAATATAGTCCACCTTCAAAAACAAACCACAAAACAAAATCTAAATCTATCTATTATGACTACTACCTTCATACAATCAAACGAAAAACAAACCAACTACTCTGTTACACACCGTCCATATACCCTACCAAAACGGAAACCAAACTAAAATAAACAATAACTTATATGTACTAATTACTAATTACACAAATTAAAGAGCCAATAAATTCCTAACCTGACAAAAGAAATTCGAAACAGCATAGCAATAACAAATACCTCCTATAAATAGTAAAATGGTTTACATCAAAATATGATTCGCCAAATATATTACACACAGCAAACAAAATGGCTGACCCACAACGTGTAAGCAACTCTTTCTCATATGCAACAAGGGCCGATGATACCGACACATCAAGCAAAATCCATCTCCTTATCAAACGACCACTCACACAACAAAGTGACATATCATCTACAACAATAAGAAGAAACATAGAATTTCTACTAACGTATCACAAAATTGGAGAGACGGACGCTTTAAGAATGGCAAAATATTTACCTGATTCATCGCTGCAGTGCTAATATCAACACACAGTCAAAGAGGTGCGACCATTGATATATATTTTACAGTTACAGATAACAATTTCCAGGCTACATCCAGGATAGACACAGACATTCTCATCGCCACTTTGGAGAGTGAAAAAGATTCTGTGACTGTTGAGGAGGAAACAGATGAATGCTCAATCTGTCTACAGACATTGAAAGGAAGAAACGATATAAACCAACTAGCATATGTACTCACTTATTCCACCATGAATGTATTGTCACTTGGTTGTATTCAAAGAAAAATTGCCCAATATGTAGGGCAAGTGATCTTTAAATACATCTCCGAAGACGCTAATCATCTTTATACATCTTCTTTACTCTTCTCCTTTATACTCATCTGATGTCTTTGAATGCCTATATGCTGCAATCACATATTTTCTTAAAAAAGTCGCACGTATAAGAGATGTACACACAACACCTATACAATGATATAAACAAAAACCCCACATTCAAAGCTTTTTTTTGTGTACAGTTTGTCTTCACTAATTACACGGAATAATATGTTTCAGCCTTTCACAAGTCGTCTTGATGTCCTTAACGGGTATTTGCTGTGCATAAAGATATTTACTCCCTTCTCACCATGACCTCCATAAATTATTTAAGGAGGAACAACACAAATACAATTCAAGCTCGGAATAAACAAAGTAATATAAGACCCATATGTCAATTTGGTCACGTCAAATTCAGATCATGATTTTAATTATAGAGCATCATGCAGAAAAACCCTTTTTACCAAAGAGTAAGAAATATCAACAGACTGTTAAGTACATTACTCATAAAATAAAAACAAATATCCGAATTTCTTTAAACCGACACCACAATACACTGACAAAAAAAAACAAAAAAGCAACAAATAATTATAATTTTGAAACGTTATCTAACCAACTTCACAAAAGAAAATAAAATATTCACTCCCCAAATTAACATTCTCAAAACCCAACAAATAAATTCACAATAATCAATAATATTCACCCAGCGAAAATCATTCAATTACACTAAATAGCAAACCGTAATACGCAAACTACGAACAACATATAAAAATTAAACAGATCTGCTAAAAAACAGGAGCCAAAACCACAAAAAAAAAAAATATACCTATGCTAACTAGAAAAAAAAAAACAAAGATGGACTCTCAAACCAGGGAGAACACAACGCA